CACCATAAAAATGCGAAAAATATTATCTGTGTAGTGTCACAGATTAAATACACAGAAATATATGCCTGAACATAGTGTTTGCTTAAGACTCTGCATTCAATGAACTCTACTCTTATTAGGCTTAATTTTTGTAGCCTTCGCTTGAAGGAAGAGAGTAATCTTTGACAGGAAAGAGCATAGCAGCAGATGGATTGACGGGCATGACTACACAGGCAAGGCTGTTAATAAAGATTGGACCTTGAGCCAGATAAGCTTAAATGTATAATAGAAAGATCGCCACAACCAGCATTAAAGGATCAAGAATACATAAACTTAATTCTGAAAGTTGGCCTTCAAAGTGTTACACATTTCCTCTACAGGGACATACAAGTTTCATTCCGATGTCTGCTTCTATATAATATATATAGATCCCAGCAGACGCATCTTAGTCAAGTTTAATCAAATTAAGTTAACTATTTATTAAACAGTCTGGCTGTTCATTACATTGTAGGGTCAAATAACAAAACCAACAACTGAAAAACACTGAAAAAATAAAAAACACAAAAACTTCTATAATAAAACTTAGTGGCAAAGACATTTTTGGTTTAATTAATTTGTAGTCATTAGCTGGAACCGCCTTTAAATGAGAAGCGGCAAGCCCAAAGACTCCTGCTGTGTGTCGTTGTCGTTGTGTTGGTAGGTGTCAATACATGCGCGCACACACACACACACACACATACACACACCAAAAGGGAGAAAGAGTATGTATTACCAGTCGCTGTGGTGCACCAAAATGTATGCCACATGTGATGCTAAGCAGTGTGTGTGTGCGTGTGTGTGTGGGTGTGTGTGTACCAAGATATATTACACTTTGCGGCCAACGCGCCGTGTGTGTGTGCGTGTGTACGAGAGCGTGTGTGTGTGTATCTGACAAGTATTTGTACTTGCGGTTTTCGACTGTTAGGCCAAACGTTACACATAAGTTGAATTATGGCATTTGCCACTTGCCGACGCCGAGTGCAAAAGCAACCGAGCTGCAGCTGCAGCTGCCTAATGAAGTTGTTTTGCGTAACGCAGACAACGCATTACCCTACGAAATTGGGTCAACAGTGTGTGCCGTAAATTATGGCTTATGCGAATTTCGGCCGCTAATAAGGCTGCCAAAAAGCCAGCTGAAATGCGAGCAAGGCGAGCAAACCCGCTTAGGCTTGGGAAGTCTTGGGTAAGGATTAACTATGTTTTTATTTTTGGCACAAATCCCATAAAATGAGCAACAGTTCAACCCACATGCTCTTCTACTTCTTCTTCTTATTTTGCGTCAGTTTGCTCAATGTATTGATTTTATGTGCGTCGGTGTGAAAATTTGTCAGCTTTTGTTAAATTCACGTTGCCTACTTTAAGGGGCGGCCAGTAAATAGCGTATACGCCGCATCGCACAATCAACGTGTGTGTTGTGTGCTGTTTAAGAATGTGTGTGCGTGTGTGTGTGGGAATGTGTGCACATCAACAAATACCTGACTCAAGATTATTTGTCGTTGTCGCTGTTTTGTTGTTGTTATTGTTGTTGTTGCTGTTTATTTTGATTTGGGCAAATGTGGGTATGTGGCTATGCGCGCGTGTATGTAAGAGTGTGTGCGTGTGTATACATGTAAGCATTTTGCTTTGCCTTCAAATTGTTTGCCGCACATCAACTTTATTATGCCTTAATAATTGATGCTGCGATATACGACGAAGCCAAAAGCTCTATCAATTCAATTGCGTAAATTTGCTGATGGATTTATGGGAGACGGAGCAAAACTTTATTTATTTTTTCTTTGACTTTGGCGCTGGTCTGCCAGATGCTTGGCATTGCGATTACAGCTAAAAATTGTTGCTTAATTGCTGGGCTACAGCATGGACGCGCCTCCGCTCGCTCGTTCCACCTTTTTGTGTCTGTCTGGCTAATTTACCCGGCCGGTCGATGGCTACCCACATACTTACCTGGCGCCAAACTTTGCCAGGAAAAGTTTGTCGAGCTGCTTTGTAAAATGGGCAGCGCTAAATGCCCCAAATTCTTTAAGTTTACAAGCAAAACATTTGTGCGCAGTTTTCAGTTTTCTTCATTTTCTTTTTTTGGTTTTTTGCTTTTTATATTTTTTATTTCTTTCGGGCTTGCGTGCGTGCACGAAATGAGGGCCGAACGTTGTTGGCCAAAGTGTAGCAAGTTTTTGTGTATTTTTACACCCTTTTTTGGCCGAGTATTTTCTCCTTTTTTTTTGTAGCTGTTATTTCTATTTACGCAACGGCCGCAAGTTCGGCCTGGCATTTGGTTTTCCAGCTCGCCAGCGGGTAGAGGGTTGGAGGGATTCTCGCTAATATTCGCCATTAAACTTTTGCTTGTTTTTCTTTAATTAACAACACAAACATCTGATATGCTACTTTCTACTTTGCTTTTGCTTTTCGCCTTTGTTTTTGTCATTTTTTTGGCTTTTTTCATTCCCTCTTTCTTTTTTTTTTTTTTTTTGTTTTTTTTTGTTGCTTACTTTAGCCGTTGCATACCTTTATTAAGTTTCGTTTTATTTTTACTTTTTGTGGGTGTCCCAGAAAACTTTGGTGCTTAAAATTTGTACTCGCTGCTTGCTCTATGTTGGGGCTGGGCAAAGGGTTAGCACCTTATTTCTCCATTCCTCTATTTGCATAGGAAGCACATCATCCCAGCCATGCAGCGCGCCCACAAAACCATCTTAGAACAATTGCGCTTTGTCTTTGATTTGATTGCATTAATTGTTTAAGTGGCTGCGGTTTTCTCGGTTTCCATTGGCTCTTTGTACTCGGCTTTCGAAAGGCAAACTCCTAATATTTCTCCTTAATATCCTACAGGTTTTGTCACTCAACCAATTAATTAATTACAAATCCCATACCTTTAGACATATGAGTCAGAAGTCCAAAAGGGCTTTATATTAATTTTAAATTTTTATATAAGGCATATTTAAATCATCATCATATGTGCGGATTGGAAATCATCTAAATAGATGCATGGCAAATGCTTTGACTTTTTCAAAATCTTTAATCGTAAAAAATACAAAAAAAAAAACATATTGGAAAAGCATATTTTTAATGAATATTCTTTATAAATTAAAATTGAAGATGTTATTTTCTGGACAAAGTTAAAATGCAAAGAAATTAAATTGTGAGAAACGAAAATTTCAAAATATGAAACTGAAAAATTCAATAAAAATACATTAAATTTTACTTGCTGAAAAGATTTTTCTTTTAAATTGACATATTAAATGCTCAATTACAAGACTGGAGTAAAATACATTTCAATAAAAATTAATAAAATGAAAAAGTTAGCTAATTATATCATACCTAGCGAGAGTACATTTTTATTCAACAACAATAAACTAACTTGGAACCGTAATAAAACCACATTGTATTGAACTGCATTAAGCTTGCGGAGCATTTGCAAACAATGAACGGCGGGTAATTGTACAAACATGAATGCAGTTATGGTTTATAATTTGAATTAAATATTTCTCATTGTCCAGTTGTTGTTGTACATGGTTCGTTATTGCGCTGGTGCTGTGCGGCAGCGACAAGCCCCAAAGCGCTGGCAACACAGCTGCAAGCGAAAATAATAGCAACTGGCGGCGATTTGGTCAGCAGGAAAGTCGTGTGCCACAAAACATGGCGCAACTGTCATAAATCCACATGTGTGTTAACATAAAAATTAAAACTTTGGCGCACAACTTTTTATTTACTGCTCTGCAAATGAACTAAGCGACAAAGCGGGAGCAGCAGCAGCAGCCGTCGCAATAGCAGTTGCTGTCTTTCAACAGGCAGCAAACTTTTGTGGCGCACTGTAAGCGGATGAGCGGGTGACGCTGAATAAAGCTCTGCGCTCGCGTGTGTGTGTGTGTGTGTGTGTGTGTGTGTGTTTGTATGTATGGGTGGGCGATAAATGGATGTGGATGCGAGTAAATTAAAGCGGATTACTTAATGTGAGCTGCATTTTTGATGCACTTCTGTGGTAATTTTCATGTTTGATTTAGCCAAATGACTTTTAATTATTCAACAGGCAAAATGTGGGCCACACACATATGTATGGATGCATGTATGCTGGCCAAGAGCCGCTTACCCACATATCGGGCAACAAATCTGGCCAGGCATAAGCCCACTTTAAGTCTATAAAAACACCACTTGAAAACTAATTAAACACTAATAGCAAACAACAAAAAGCTGCGCAAAGGCAGCTTCAAGTGGCGGAAATGCCAGCAAGTCGGACTGGCCAGTCGCCCAGTCGCAGCCTGCAATTAAACAAAACAAAACGAAAATAAAAAAAACAACGCAACAAAAAATAAATGAAATAAAACAGAAAAGAATAAAAGAAAAGCTGTGGAAAACGCAAAACTTTTTAATTTCACCCAAACTGAGGGCTGAGGCAACACAGGCTGCTGTGTTGGCGCGAATGAGTCTATAAGTTGGAGTCGATTCCGCAGCAACGTCTTTGCCAAGCAAATAAAACAATGGTCAGATACAAAAGCAATACGAGTCCTGCGAAAGGATAACAGACGCCGGAAGTGAAACGAAATGGCAAATCAATGAAAGGGCGGCAACAAAAGCAAATCCGCTTAAAGTGAAAATTATTCCTTAGCCGAAAAAAAGGAAGAGAGTAGAATCTCGTGCATGTGTACAAAAATGGCTAAGCGGCCATCAGGACGGCCATTCGCGGCTGCCTAAGCCCTAAGCTGTTGACTTATTTACCACGCTTCGATTTGCTTTGGCCGCCTATTGTTGTGTTAAGATTTGTATGCATGGCTTAGCTGCTCAACAATCTTTTTGTGGCAGTCGCCCCATTTAGTTTAGCCAGATTGCGTGAAATAGATAAGACGCATGTGAGCTGGCTTCATATGACCAATAAGTTTGTGGGCCCGATAAATTAAGATGCATATTTGACAGCAGCTGCTGCACTTACTTAAAACTAAAAACCAGTAATATGAAATATGAGGTGAAGGATTTATGAAGAATGGGGCGGGACTTACCTTTGTGATGCCGCAGGTGATGGCCAACAGCTGCTGCGCCCGTGCAACAAGGTGGCTCGTAATATAAATTCCAAGTGTTCTCATAATCCGCCCGAGCATAATCCACATAAATTATTTGCGCGCCGAGCACAAGCAGCCAAGCCGCGCTGAGCAGGCTCCGCCGCAACTTGGCCATCGAGCACAACATGCCTGGTCCTGTGGCGCGCTCTGGGGCTATGTAACTAAAAACAGGTGGCACTCACAGACACACAGACACACAGAGATACGCACACGCGTGCGATCAAACGACGAAAAAGGATTCAATCGCAATGCCAACTAAATTGATGCAAAATCGACGAACACGTTTTGAGCACGGCGTTTACCATTGAGCCAGAAAAAAGTTCTGATCTGATCGGAAGTGCTCGACTGTTTTCACATGTTCGCCGCGATATACGCGAAAACTTAAGGATTCACAATGTGTGTGTGTGCGTGTGTGTGAAGGACGAACGCACGGCACGAGCTGCAAATACGAACTGAGTGGCCAAAGCACGAGTAACTGTGTTAAATAAACACACAGCACGACGAACGATTCGACACGAACTGACAGCTCGGCTCGACGGCTCGGCAATTCCTGACACCTGTGCTGCAATGAGACAGAGAGAGAGAGAGAGAATTAGTTTGTGAGTGAGTGAGAGAGATAGAGAGAGAGAGAGATGGCTAGAGCGCATGCGCCTGGAGAGCGAATAATATCCCTGTATATTTCCCAGTTTTGTTTATGTTTACGAGTCTTTAGCCAAGTGTATTGAACTCATTTAGTGCATGCAGCGTGCAACGTGCAACGTGCAACGCTATGCGTCCGACGACAACAATAACAACAAATGCAATCCACACAATTTTCAAGGGTAACTGCAGACACATTCAAACTGAAGAGCAGCGGCTGCCTCTGTTGCTGACACCCCCGCAGCGGCGAAGTTAAATGCAGTCTCGATTTAAGCAGAGAGCCGGCGAGACGAGACTGTTGCCAGTTGAGCCAGCCAGGAGCAGACAGGACACTAGAGACAGCAGACAGGAACCGTTGGCAGCCAGGCTGGCCCAACAGCCAGACTCGGCCCCAAACCAGACCCAAACTCAGAAACAGACCCAGACCCAGACCCAGACACACTTGCACTTAAAGCATTTTCGTGCATTATTATTTATGCATATGCTTGTAATTGCAGTAGAAATACTTCGTGTGTGTGTGTATGCCCAGACTCTGGCTAAATGTTTTCCTTCAATTTTTTTGCATTGCCTTCTTTACATTGTGGCTTCGCGTGTTGCCTTGTGGAAATTTCAGCACAATTTCAATGCTGCATTTGTATAGGCTGCAAAAAGTTCTCTTAAGGCCAGACATAAGTCACTCAGACAGTCACGCAGACGGCCCGAGCTGCAGGGCAGACACTCAAAGACAATTAGACGATAGCCAGCAGTAGCTGTGTATAAGTGTGTGTACACTTGCATGAAAACTTAAACTTTATTATTTTCTTGAATGCGAAAATATTCGATAGAAAAATCAAGCTGCGGCAAGGTTCTTAAGAAGCTAAAAGCTATTCTAATAGAGTAGTGCCTCGATTATTAAAACCGATTCCCATACAATATGAAGTTCTCAGCATTTGTTTTAATTGTGTTCGTTTATTGATTGTTTCCAAAACCCCGCTTTATTTGCAGTGTAATAACTTTCAGACAGCCCAACAAGTTTCCGCATACTTTTGCTACTCATGGCGCGCTTGGACTTGACTCTAGATCAGACGAAGGCCAGCAGCAGTAGGAGTATCAGCAAACTGTCTGCTCAGCTGACCGCAAGTTAACAAAGTTTTGGCATTTGGCGTTTGCTGCATTTCGGCTCAAATTTTGTGCATTGGAATTTCTCTGTAAGTATATGTGTGTGTGTTTTTGGATGCCAAGACAATTTGTGGCCGCTTTGTGCGACAGCGAAAAGCATAAGGCTTTAATTTGTTCCATCAAGGGAACTCAGACGATTGCCCAGACAGCAGAGCCAGCGCATTCACAGCACGGCATCCTGCATGGATTCGCTTGGAACCCGCACCTGTCCTGTGCACTGGAGCGCACAAAAACAAGCTCAACAATTGCCTTATAAATGCCCACAAACTTGAACTAACACGGGGGAGAAAAAAACTTTGATTAATGTGCGCTTAAAGAGCCGGCAAATACGTAGAGGAAGAAGGCTTATTCCAAAAAACAAGGACACAACTTTTCATAACTTTAACAACACACAACCAAACAAAATACGGGACATTGGCGCTGTGACGGTACAGACTGGCTGCAGACCGCGTGCAGCCGGCGGCTTCTTAGCCAAAGCGCAGCAAAAAACTTATGCAATCAAGGCAAGGCGCAAGGCGCAATGCGGAGGCGGCTACGTAAGCCACAGGAGCAAGAACAGGAACAGAAACAGAAACGGGGCCAGGAGCAAGGCACTGGCACTGCAATTTCAAGGCGCCGCACAACAATGTCAGCAACGGCAGCGACAACAGCGACGACAGGAGGCAGCGGCCGAAGGAATCACAGCGAAAAAGCGTTAAAAAATGAATTGCAAAACAAACAGCAAACAAACGAGCAACATTTGCCGAGGGCACACCCACATATACAACACAACGTACACAGCTAGAGCCACAAAGTAGCCAGCGACCCGCAGCGACCTGGAACGTCCACAAGCAGCGGCTGCTCTTGCTCCAGCTGGGCGATACCCGACGTTGCCCAATGGCAACGTCAAAGTCAGCAGACCGGTTGAAGCTCACCCGCATTCGCATCCTTGGGCCCCGTGCCCGCGCTGGTTAATAGAAAATGTAATTCGATGCATTTAATGTTGGCAACGCCAAATGCTGCAGGTTACCCTTCGGGACCAGCCAAAGGGAGCAAAACCGCCCACTGCCAAATGCGACGACGATACCAGGTTCAGGTTTAGCTTCGCCTTTTTTTATGAGTTTGCATTTGGCTGCTATTCATCCAGCGCCAGTGTCGAAGTCGTGCTCGATGTTGTTGTGTTTGAGTTGCTTACCTAATCCTTGCAAACAAGTTAAAAACGTTGTAAAACAAACAACAAACAGAACAAAATGAGTGGGAACCGGCGCCGCCAACGGCTGACATGGCTTTCAGATGCGCTCCCACAATAAGCAAAGGGGTAATCAGGAAATGGAATAAAGTGCTGCATACTTTTCGAGAACGGATGCGAATGAGAAGCTGAGCAGCTGACGAATGGGCAATATAATATCTATACAATACGCGTAGGGAACCTTAAGATATATTTTGGAAGGAAGTTTTATGTAGACGTCTTTAGGTAAACGTTTTGAGGATAATCACAATTAGGTTTCGGCAAATGTTGTGAAATATTGGATCTCAAGGAAAATAAAAATAAAAAGGACATTCCGAAAAATTTCCTTAATTTGCTTTTATTTGCATTTAAGCTTACCGAAAGCTTCGTTAAATGAAAAAAAATATTGTAACTTAAATCAAAGAAATATAGCACCTAAAATCATTCTTTGATTTGCTTCATTTCCGTTTTGGCCCCTTTTAAATATTTCCATATTAATCGAGGCAAAATCCGAGTTCTATTTCTTTGACAGCATGCTCGATCCAGAGACACGCACATCTCTAATTCAGTTATGGGATCTTTTTTTTTATTTGTTCAAAACAGTTTCGCTGCCTCTGGTACGAAATTGTCAGTCGTAAAGCCAGGCGCATTGGGAAAATGGAAACGATTTTGACTGATATCGAGTGCCATGAGAAATACAAACAATCATCAAGCAGGCAGTCTGCTGTGCCCGCTGTCCTGCGCCCTCCAACCGCTGGGCATGCAATGTTACCTCTGCTGCGCCCACCCTCGTGGACATGGCAATGGTAACCTCAGCAACCTGCGCCGCGTGCCACAGCAATGACAGCCGTCGCGGCAGCGCTAATAGAAATTAAACGAAAGTGCTGCACGATGCTGATGGGTGCACAGATGGAGGGATCGAAGGTGGTTGCCAGCCAACTGCAAACCGAACCAGCCAAATTCGAGCCACCCTGCACCGTGTGAAGGTCGAGCTGAAATGAAGTGCAGCAGCAGCAGCAGCAGCAGGGAACTGGACTGAGCAGCGGCGGCACATTCGCTTTCATTACGCTAGCTGGTTTTTGGGACTATTTACATTTGCTTTTATTAATCATAAAACAAGTACGAGTGATTCAATCGGGAGTGCCCGACCAAGAGATACCTAGAATGATTCCAGATTCCTTCTAAATGCCAAGAAAAAATATTTTCGAGCTATGAATAAAAATAACATTTCTTAAAACCTATGTATATATCGAAGAGTACACATCGATCTGTATATTCTATCGAAGAATATATCTTTCGAATTTCCCATCTCCAGCTTCTGAAGTACCAGACAGACAGACGGGCATGAATAAACCGACTCACTCCGGCATTCTGATTAAATATGCATTGGCTTTTTGGGCTCGAGAATGCTTTTCTCTGCCTGTTACATATAATTGTCCAAAAACATTATACCCTGGCAAGCATTTTTAATGGTTTTAGGGTATAAAAATGCTGAAATAGTCGAAATTGCCGAAACGGCAGAGCTCGCTGGGTGCTGGCTGCTTGGTTATGCCAGCCAGGATCGTGCACGAAAGCGCAATTTGATTTTAATGGCGGCAAAATGTTGAATGTTTGTCGTACAGCGAGAGGGAGATGGTGAGAGAGACTGGGTGACAGACAGACAGACGGACTAGTAATGCAAACACGCAGACAAACTGGTTGTCGTTTTTTGTCCTGCTGCTGTTTCTGTTGCCTTTCCATGCAATCAGGCGCCATTTGTTGACGTTTGTCTGTATTGGTGTTTGTTAATCTGCCTGCTGCATGCGTGAGTGTGTGAGCGGGTGTTGGCAAGTGCAAGCCTCACACACACACACACACACACACACACACACACACACCCACACACACCCTCACACATACACACACTTAGCTAAGCCGCCTGCACCATTTTGCACGCCCGTGTCATTTGATTGTTTTTTGCTGTCTGTGTGTGCGTGTACCGTGTCCTGCCTATTGCCTTAGCCTTAGCTGCTGCGTACATTTTATCAGTTTGTTTGTTTGTTTACTTGCTTGTATTCGATGCATGTGCGTGCCTGGAGGCGAACAGCCACTCGTCACTGTCATTAACGTCATTGTTCTGGCCGCGAAGCGTCCAAGTCGTGGGCAATGTCAGTGTCAATGACAATGGCCAACCACCAGTGCGTTCCACTATATATATTTTAAATATTTAAATGACATTTTTCCTAAAACGACGCACCCTTTAATTAAAGTGACAGTGACTGTGGGACAGCCCCTGAAAGTATGCCGCCGCCACTGTCAATTATTTATTGGCTGCCATTTAATTAACTAATAATTCAAGAGTCGTCTTCTAAACAAACTCAAACACGCACAAATGTCATTTTCAACAATACAAATTATACTTAAATACATGTATGTACAGCTGTCTATGTATACAAAACACTATATCCGGACTGATTGATTGAATAATGATCAACGAAAAGCCCAAAGCTTTAATGTAGCTACCTTAAGTGGGGTTTTGCAAAATTACAATTTGTTCTTCATCCGATCGAATTCAAACT